ATTTTTATATAACACCAATCATACAGAAAAAGTAGGGAATTGAGGTGCCCAGGTGGCTCAGGTGGTTAATCGTCTGCCTATGGCTCAGGTCATGATCTCAGGGTCCTGGGATCGAGCCCTGTATCAGGCTCCCTGCTTAGCCAGGAGTCTCCCACTCCCCCTGCTTGTGCTCTCTCTCTCTCAAATAAATAAAGAAAATCCTAAAAAAAAAAAAAAAAAAAGGGAACCTGCCTATATAGGAAAGCTAGTTATGGTCTTAAACTCAGTCTTCTATGTTTCCACTTTCATTTGCCAGCAATACAAACCACCCACCCTCACAGTGACTTATGCAAACACTAGCATTCTATAAATGTCATTCTATACCTTGCATTTTTTTCTTAAATATATCCTGCCAATCTCTCCACAACCAATATAGTTAGAAACTCCTATTCTTTCATCTCCCCACCTCAGCTGCAGTTTCCACTGCATGTTTATTCAACCAATCCCCTACTGATAGGCACTTGAGGTATTTCTAACCTGTTATGACAAAGCCTCATTTTGTACTCACGCAGGCATAACTGTCATCTATTTTTCTACAAGAGGGATGTCCATGTCAAGGGTAAATGCGTTTGTGATTTCGAGAAACATTACCAAATGCCCCTCCATAGGGGGTTGTATCATTTTGCACTGCTACCAGCAATGTATGAGAATGTCCATCTCCTCCTAATTCCACCAATAAAATACAGTGTCAAATGTATGATAGGTACAAACTGGTACCTAAGTATAGTTTCATTGTGAATTTCTCTTATTATGAGAATGAACACCTTTTTGTTTGAAGATCATTTTAATTTCCTCTTTCACACATGTCTTTTGTCCATTTTTCTACTGGGTTGTTGATCTTCTTCCTAGAAGCTCTTCCCATATCAGGTATTAGCTCTTTGTCTTTAACAGGCATTACCAATATTTTCCCCTCCAATTTGTCATTAGTCTTTTGATTTTGTTTAGGGTAAAACACAATGATTTCAATTAAAACATATATGTAACAAAAATGATCAGCAATTTGAGTTAGAATACAGGTCAAATTTCCCAGAATTACACAATCTTTGTAGACATGGAATTTGAATTTATTTTCTAAATTGCAGGCACACATAGCTACATTAAGCAGCTTCCTTACAAAAAGAAAACCTCTCAATTGTTAGCTTTCTGAAGTGGGAAGAGCACATTTTTATGAAAGAAGATTATGATGTGCATATGTAACCACATGCAGGCATGCATGCTGGCGGTGAGGTAATAGAGAATAGAGCAGAAAGGGAGACTGAAGGGCTGAGTAAGGAAGAAAGGTAAACACAATGAGGTAGATAATAGGATGGAATAAAAAAGACAGGGAGAAAATTCCAGACCAGTAAAGATGTCTAAGGTCATCCAGAAAATTTAGGGATAATGAAGAAAGAACAGTGCCATGCCATCATACAGCACTTGATCCAGGCTAAATATACTAAATACACTTTAACCACTTAATAAATAACTGATTACCTATTATGTATAGTGCCCAAAATCACAGGGGTTACAATTTACCTGGGGAAAGCAAGACATTTAATTGCAAAAAGGTAATAAATATACAAGTTTAAAAATAGAGTAATACACCAAAGCAACTACTTTCTTGTGAGGACACACAAGAACCATAATATTTAAATTCTAGAGTCTTAAGCACAATGGTAAAAGACTATGGAAAACATAAACAGGCATTTAAAGAAAAAACTCAAAGAAAAAGTATTTTAAGTAGACAGGTCTGAAACTAAAGCTACTTTTAAGTAGACAGGTCTAAAAACAATAACCTTATCTCTTGGCTTTTTTTGAAAATCAGTACTGCCAGTGGGCATTCTACAAACTTTTTTATAAGGTACATAATTCAAAAGTCCAAGCTGGTTAGGCTGAGAAAGATCTTCCAGAATGAGTTTTTCAGCTCTTGAAAGATTAGAGGCATAATCGGAATTTTCACTTGGACTAACACTAGAGAAAAAAGAAAAATATATTTTAGTTCCTAATTTAAGTATTCATCCAAATTTCTATACATTGAATAAGAAAACAGAAAGAAAAGCACCTGAAGTTCTGCTGGAAATCACATTCACTTATGAACTTAAGGCAATGTTTCAACTAAATTTCTTAATAAATTGTAAATGAGTTTTAAACTAAAAATCTGTAAGTTAGAAAGAGACTCTATGCTAGGATTACTTAAGATTCAAAAAATAGTCATAAAAATAAAAGATTAAGCCCAAACATATATTTTATACTCTGGGTCCTAATATAGCAAAGGTGTTTACTTAACGTACAAACATTAATGTATAACACTTCTCTAACATTTCTATTTTTTTTCCTAAACCAAGAATTACATTAAAAATTACAGATTGTTTCAAAAAAAAGTTACAGATTTCATATTCTATTCTATTAGAAACACAATATATAATAATGAAATTCATACATTTTTCGTTCATAAAGTCATATTCTGAAGTCCTTATGTGATTTTACTTACGTACCTGGATAGCTCTTCCCCTAAACTCTGCAAACTCCATTCCGTTATCTTCAGTTCATGTCTTAAGGAAGCAACATTTGCAAGCAAACTTTCTTCTTCATTGTCTTTATTACAGTAGTCTGATGAACTAGATTCCATTTCTTAAAAAAAGAAGTGTATTTCTTGTACCTTGCCAGAAAGAAATCTGTGGTGTCAAAACACTCTCACATTAATAGAATTTAACTTATTATTTTTCTATTTATCTCAAATGTTGTGCAATCTTTCATGGTAATTTAAGACAAAACAAAACAAAAACCCAGTAACAGTGAATTTCTCTGCAGTGTAAAGCCAAGGAAATAGAAAGTTCAATAGTTCCCCCTTTTCTAAACAGATTTAATCTTTCTAACAATAGTGCACATTAAATATTGTTATTCCATGTTAAAGTTAGAACAAACTAAGAATAAGGCAAATTAAATAATTTGCTCAAGGTCACATAAACTGTAAATGGTGGAAACAAGATTTGAACCTAAGACATCAGGATGCAAAGACCTTTTAATTATGTCACACTGCAATTTCTAACTTATAGATCAATTTCAAGATGAGCTTCTGAACTTACATAATCAAGTTACAAGCTCTGGAAATCTGATAAAATTGATATCATTATTTTATTAAATTAAAACTGGTATCATATATTTTCTTAATGGCGGTTTATTACCAAATAAAGGTTATCTCCTCCTCCCATTCACAACAGTTATAAGATTTAAAAAACACACACATTCACATCACAACCGTAGAGATCAAAATGGCATTTGGCAAGTTAACTCAGAAATACATGAAGAAAAATTTCTCTTTCTTCAACGTATGAGTATCTCTAGAGTTGTGAAATTCTCTACTAAACTTTACACATAAAAATCGTGATAAAGGGCCACATTTTATTATTAATAATACATATAATCATTATGTATTAAAATACATATTAAGAATATGTACATATACATATTAAAATATATTAAGAACTAAGGCTTTAAAATTTCTACTACTGTAAATCTTTTTGCATCTTAAAATTACATTCCTCTTTCAGATCCCATTTACCTTTGTCATTGTAGCACCTCTCTTTCATCACCCTTCTAGAATTCTGACATCTCAAGCTCCAAAAGGTTAGGAGTCTTATGTATTATGTTCAGGACTATTAAGACACTTACAGAAGGTCAGGATGTTCAGTGAATAAATGATGATTGCTGAATTGCCCTTCCTTCCCCTCATCCAGCTAAAATAGAGAGGCAAATTTATTCCCCACTCAAAATTTCTCAGATGTAAGAAGGAAGATTAAAAAGAAACCCCTCACCTTATTGGAAGAAACTGTGGCAGGAAATTAAATGAGACGCTATGTAATCGCAGAGAAAATGTTTCTTTTTTCCCCTTTCGTTTGCACAAATTTGCTTCTGCTTAAATGAGAAGACTCTCCCATACAAAAGTCAATGGATCAGGTCCCCATTCTGCTTTATCTTTTCAACATTTCTAGCTTCCTACAGAATGGTGAAGGAAAAAGGGTACAGACAATTTGGGTGAATTCTAAAATGTCATTCGATATTACGTTTCAACTAAATCAGGTTTTACGTCCAACATCTTCTGTGTATTTTAATGTAACAATTCCCTAACACTTACGTACTAATGAATACATTTGCTTTTAATTTTTTTTCCTACTGAGCCATGAAAACTTTTCTTCCCATCAACTTACAGTAGGTTATGAAAGTCTATCTTCACTGCCTGTACATACGTGGAAAAGTGCATCATGCTACTACCTACAGGCCCTGACCAGATCACCTGCTCCTAATTACGCGTTGGTAGCTTTACGCGCACGCGCACCCATCAACACCGAAAAACCGGTGTTGTTTATAAACCTTGTATGTAATAGGATGGGCTGTAGTTGAAAGAAGATTCCTCAATTTGGAAGGAGGTTATAGATTTATGTTGTATGGTCCTGTTACCAAGAACTCTCAATTTGACAGAATTGATCCCACGTTCATCTGAAAGAAGCGGAGGAAAACATGACGTCTCCCTCTCCGATTTCTCAAATAAAATACAAGTCTGCAGAGCAGCGCACACAGCAAGCGTGAAGTCGATGCGAAGCGCGTCCGAGGGTGCTGGGAGGGAAAGGAACAAAACTCCGCCAGGTAGGCCTGTTTTCACCCTCCAAGGAGCAGTCACTCACCACCCAAGTCGTAGCTGGGAGACAGACCCACCTGACAACAGCGCACACCGCGCTCTCGTCCGCGTTCGGAAGCCTCGGACCCTCTCCTGAGCTCGGGCTGTGGAAGCATCAGACACTCCACGCGGGGAACGAGGGAACCCCGGCTGCACCGAGTTCGAACCGCCGCGGGAGCCGTTGGGGACGCACCTCCCCGGCCGCAGCTCCGCCCCCCGCGCAGGCTCTGCGCTAGGCGACGCAGAGGCGTGGGGCCTGTCGGGGATCGTGGTCTGCGAGCGCGTCCAAGCCCGCTCGCCTGGAACTACATTTCCCATAATTACCCCTAAGACGCCCATTGGTGGGGGGGGAAGCCATGGGAACCTGCCGCCCTGGTGTGAGGCGGGGCGCGCTCATTCCAGGCCTGAGGGGGCCGAGACCGAGAAGCTTGCGGAAAAGGACTGCTGGCCCCGCCCCTCGGACCCTACCCTTCTGAGGCCGGCGTTTCCCGCTCTGAGGGGTCCTGTGCCGCCGCCGCGGCCGCCACCTGGTTTCTTCAGGCTCCAGGTTTCCCTGCTAACCACGAGGAGTCCAGGGAGGAAAAGCGGAGCCTAGGTGCCAATAACCCACACGTCCCGCGTCTCTTCCAGCCCGAGATCGCCCCGGCAGGGATGGGCGACAAGATCTGGCTGCCCTGCCCGGTGCTCCTCCTGGCCACTCTGTTCTCAGTGCTGCTGCCGGCGGCGGCCGGCTTCACGCCCTCCTTAGACAGCGACTTCACGTTTACCCTTCCGGCCGGCCAGAAGGAGTGTTTCTACCAGCCCATGCCCCTGAAGGCGTCGCTGGAGATTGAGTACCAAGTAAGTGTGGAGGGTGAGGCAGCCTCCTTCCTTTATCCCAGCTACCCCGCGTCTTCGCCTCTCACCCACTTAGAAACTTCTTGTGGGCTGCGAGGGTGGTGAAGAGGCGAGGGCCGCTGGGGTAGCCGGCCCGTTCGGCGCAGGCGCGCGAGGTTCGGCTCTCCTGGGGCCGGCGACCCAGAAGTTAGGCGGGACCTGGAATTGACGACCCGCCCTCTCCCCTTTCCTCCCGTTGGAAAGAGGCCAGCACTGGTGATCTTGGTGGTTTTCCCTTTTGTTTCCATAATTCGCCCATCGCCTTGCTAACCAGCACACGCTCTGATGCTGGGAATTTCTCAATACAGGACTGATAACACGTTCTCCATCATTGGAGGAGATGATGACACTTGTTTTGTTACCCCGACCACGCTCACCCAATTCCGGTATTATAAATCTTCACTGTCATCGCTTCATTTAAGGATTTTTGAACTGTGAACTTGTGATTATCCCTAAATCCGATTTTGGAATATTTTGAAAGGAGCTCTTGATGTATTTAATGGGTACATTTCCTTCGCAGTTACATATTTTTAAATCAAGCAATATTTAATTGTTTATTAAAACTTTATAACTTGTAGTTCATCATTGTAAGCATTTCTCCCATATCATTGTCTTCTTTTTAGTATCTTCATAATATTATGTAGGGATTTGGCTTAATTTATATAGTCATTTTGGTAGAGCGTAATTTCTTAGAAGAAATCTTGTTAGTTCCACACAGCTAATTTTGATGTCTCTGGGTAGCACTGCAAAAAAAAAAAAAAAATGCGTTGGTGTGGTTTACCTTTTAATTTTTCCCAGATTATTTAATTTATAATCAGATAATTTTTTAAGTTGATGCAAAGAATTATTTTCAACAGTTACTGTCACCTATAGAGCAAAGTAAGTTATGTAGAATTTTCATCGGAAGGAACCTTAGAATTAAATTATTTCTAGATATTTAAGGAAAGCAATAGAGAGCGCAATATCTGAAGTCATATAGTGAGTAAAACTGAGGCTAGACCGCAACATTTATTGATCTCCAGTGTAGTTCAAAAGTTCATTTACCATGTGCCAGTAATTGGCAGGGGTGGAAGGGGGATGAGGGGAGTGTGGATGAGATGACCAACTATGACATGGACAAAAAAAGAGTCCGTTTTCAAGGATATTATTTAAGGGATACTGGCTAATAAACAGCTAATTTCAATTAAGTATCGTTAACTGCTGTTAGAGGACAACCACTTCTCTGGTGTTTCGGAAAAGGATTCCTGGAGAAAATAAATTTGAATCCTGAAAGATGCTTAAGTGAGACAAGAATGCAAAGAAGGCAGGGCATTTCAGGAAAAGGAACAAAACACGAATAGTTATAAAAATGCGTAGTGTTTTGTTGCTGGGCAGTATGTGGACACTACAAGTGCTGAGTTTTTATTAGACCTGAAGACTAAAGTCTAGGGTGCAAGTAGAAGTAAAATAGATTGGAGAGGTCAGGAGGCTGGATCATGGATCATGAATCTTTAGGCTTGTGTGCCATGCTGAGTGGCTTTGCCCTTGTTCTGTGCAAGGGCCACTGAAGATATAAGCAGCATGGTAACAGAAATGTTTTCCAGATAGATCACTGGGTACAGTGTGGGAAAAGGAGGGCAAAATTAGAGGCAAGGAAATCCAACTGGAGGTTAAAAAAAATTTTGTATTATTTGAAAATTCCTTAGTATTTATCTAGGAATTGGTATTAGGGAGGAAATATATATGAACTACTGACCTCATGATTATGATATAAAATCTGTACAAATAAAATGCTTGGGTTGAAATCCTAACTCTGTCACTTACTACCTCTGTGATTTGAACAAGTTATTTAACCTCTCGCTTGTAAAAGAGAAATAGTAATTACCTCACAGAGTTGATTTTAAGAAATGAGTTAATAAGTGTTCATAGACCATCCCTGACACTAGTAAATAGGCGGTGAATGTTGGTTTTTCTACATTTACACTTCTAGAGTTATATAGCTGGCTTGGCTTAGCTTTATGCTCTGCATCTTTAGTCACTCTTAAAGGGACTGAAGTAATCCCCCTAAACAACTTAATTGTTTTGATTGAAGAAAGAAGAAAGAAGTAAAATTTAATGTCTGTAGTCCTAGACAATGTTGAGGGGTTTGTAGAGTAAGAGGTAATCTTCACCTTTTTGTTTGCATTTTCCAATTCCATGATTAATCTTCCAGTAACAGCAGCTACTGCTTTTTGTCTTTGTTTTTAAAATGTCAGGGAACAGACATTCCAGACATTGCCCTTGGGTCACTGTGACATACTGAAAATTTTTAACCATTTCTTACTTTCCAGCTTTAGGAGGACACTTTTAGAATAATTGACTAGCCCCACATTATATTAAGTTCTTGAAAATTTTAAGTGTCAATACATATATCTTAGGAATAAACTAGATCGTTCAGTTAACTTTTTAAAAATCATTGCTAAGTGCTTAATTTGTTGGAGCACTATGCTAAGTGCTACGGATATAACGGAGTGAGTAAAAATATAGTCCATATTCTCATACAATCTAGTATGGAAAAGGACAGTAATCAAACTGTTTACAAATAAATGTAAAATTGTAACTCTAATAAGTGCTATGAAGGTAGGTATATACAGCTATGAGAAGATTTAATAGGAGGACTTAATTTCATCTGGGAATTGAGAGAAGACATTCCAGAAGTACAATTCAGATCTGTAGAAAAATCAGCCTTATTAGGCATAAGGGGATGATTTAAATTTGCATTGAGGAAGAAGACAGAAGAAAGCCTTTGAGGAACTGAAAGGCTGTTACAACAACAGTACAGACTAGGGAGAGTGGCACTCATCATCTTCTAGTGAAATCATCAGGAAGTTTTGTTTCAGATTATGGTGTTTTTTAAATAAATATTTTTATGCTTTAAAATTGTATTTTATAGATTTTTAAGTTATCTTCTGTGTTAATTATCATTTTTAACAATTTCATTAAGCCTGACAGCCCCTACCAATAATACCTTTTAAATCTTTTACTGAAATCTTTGTTTTGTTAGATCTCTTATTTTCTGATTTAATAGTTATCTTTTTTTGGCTTTTTTAGAGGATAACTTTGAGTAATTCTTTTAAAATGCTTTGAATCCTTGAACAGACTTTTTGCTTTCACTTTAGTAAATATAATTTTCTTTTACTTGGGATCATTGAAGACATGGCCGTATTGTTTTTTTGCATCTAGTATTATATGTAAGAATTCTGATGCCAATCCCAATTCTTATAAGTAGTTCTCTACCAGTTATCATTGGAAGTTTCTAGGTTGTTCTTTTTAAATCCTTTGGAAAGGCAGTAGGAATTTTTTTATCTTTTATATCCATTAGCCCCTTCCAGTCTCAAGATTTTTATCTTTTGAAGCAAGAATTTTTGTTCTCTTATTTGATGATTTCTTCCCTTCATTTCTCGTGGTTCTCTTCTTTGAAATGCTTGTTAGATAGATATTTGAAATCTTTAGCTCTGTCCTTCGCAAAGGGTCTTACCATTCTTCTCATACTTTTCATCTGTACTTTTCACCTTGTTCTGAGAATTCCTTGGTTCCTTCCAGTTCGCTGATTTTTAGTCTCTATCCATATTCATTCTGCTGTCATTACATTTGTTAAGACTTTATTTTGGCAACATTTTTTATCTTTTTTATTTTTCATACCAGCAACCTCATTTTTATGGATTACACATTCTTGAATTTCTCTGAGGATATATACTTATGAAGAAACATTTTGAAGTCTGTTTATATTAACTATTTTTTCAGAATTTGATCCTTTCAGTAAAACCAGTAACATGAAAAAGAGGGCATTGATTTCAACAAATGTGTTTCTCTAGTCTGTTTCAGTGAGAATTTTGAGATTGATAGCTATTGGTAGCTAGATATATATATCCTTTGCTCAGTGGACTATCTTCCAGAAATTCGTTACTCCTCATGTCTGTTAACAGTCTTCCTAGATTTCCAGTGTTGTTATTTGTATCAATATATTTTCTTCATTTTATTGGGATTTGAAGATTAAAGAGAATTATATATATTTAGCTGGCTATTTGAAACTACTTTTGTTGATAAGTAAGTATAGCACAGGAATAGGTAACTTTTTATATCATTCCACTAAGGCCACCAAGAAAAATAAAATGGTGTATTAAATAAGAAAAAGAGTAGTTATCGGAGGAAAACTGCTGAGTTCAAATTTTGACATTCATTGACTATATCTACCTTCAGAAAAGTATTTCTCTGTGCCTCATTTTTTTGTGTTTTTTTTTTGTTCTGTTGATTGGTTCTTGTTTTACTGAGAACAGTAGTAAGACGTACCTCTTAGACTTGTTTTGAGGAAATTAACCCAGATAAAGCACTTAAAACAATGTGTGGCATACACTGTAATTGTTAGCTATTATCATCATCATTTTGGGATTGTAAAGGAACTCTGTTCATTGGCAAGTAAACCAATAGCCTACTTGGAATATTTAGTTCATATTGGAGAATAATAAGCGAATGCACTGAAGAAGTCAACTGGAGTCAGATCATAGAAGTTTTGAGTTCTGGGTTAAGAAATAGCTAATTATTTTATTGAAGAGGAAACAAACTCAGAAAAGTTACATAGCATGCTCTAAATTGCCTAAGTAAAAAGGTTTACCATATGAACTCCCTTCTGTGTTTCCTTCCACTCTACAGAGCTTCTCAATCAAGGCAACATTTTAGGAAGATTATTTTAGTAATATTTATAAGGCCTAAAGTTAGGTGATGGCAACAGGAATTGGTAAGAAAGTTCCAAAATGAATAGAATTGAATTGGATGATCTTTGTGCTCCTTTCTAGCCCTTACATGCATCTTGTTGACTTTCTTTACCTCTCTAGGTTTAGAAAGAAATTCTTTTCATCATATGATCTACTTTATATATTTTTTATTTCAGAATTTATAATGTGTTCTTTTCTTTGTGCTTTTCTACAGGTTTTAGATGGAGCAGGATTAGATATTGATTTCCATCTTGCCTCTCCAGAAGGAAGAACCTTAGTTTTTGAACAAAGAAAATCAGATGGAGTTCACACGTAAGTCATCTCTTAGTTGAGTTCCCTGGGCTGAGTATTACCAATGGGCTATCTGCAGGGCAGGGAAATTTAGCACATTTGATACAAACATCAGTATTAAATGATTCCATATGAACATTTTAAACAGTCCTAGATAGTGGCCTATCATAAACTAAAATGTCTTCCATTAACTTTTTTCTCTTTTTTTAGGCGTTTTGTATTGATCCTAAATTTTTTTCTTTGCTTTGGTTAAATAAGATGAGTATGCCCTAGGTATTGCATTCAGTCTGTTATGGCATTTTAAACCTGTCTTTCTGACTAGCACAACCTTTCCATTTTAAGTTACTGTTCCAGGTACGTATCCTATAGTTTGAGCTGCTGGCTTTATCATCTTTGCCCACTATTTCCTTTCTTAAAAAAAACAAGTACAGGGCGCCTGGGTGGCTCAGTTGGTTAAGCAACTGCCTTCGGCTCAGGTCATGATCCTGGAGTCCCGGGATCGAGTCCCACATCGGGCTCCCTGCTCAGCGGGGAGTCTGCTTCTCCCTCTGACCCTCTTCCCTCTCGTACTCTCTGGCTCTCATTCTCTCTCTCAAATAAATAAAATCTTTAAAAAAAAAAAAAACAAGTACATCTTTGTGCATATGTGTTGTGTGTGTATGCCTGTAAAAGTTGGTTTTTACTCAGACCTCATTCTTTTTAGATAATTAGAAGATGTGATAGTAAAAGATCTGACCATAGGAAACCAGAAAGAAAGAAAATAACTTGTTAGAAGTTTAGAGTTTGACAAAAGGCTATATATGCTCTTTTAATTTCACTTCTCTTTTTCATATCTCAGTAGTGTGTTTCCCTGTTCATTCTGTCATTTTACTACAGCACTTTGTTTACTTATTGCATTAAAACTAAACTCGAGTTTCAGGTAGAGGAAAAGCAAATACAGTCTAATATTTGCCATAAACTAGGCTTTGCATTTTATATGCTTCAAATTAATCATTCCAGCCCACTGTGAGAGATTCTTTGATTCCCCAATTCCCATTTTACAGACAAGGAGGCTCAGAGAAGTTAAATAAGTCTACAGGGATACACATTTATTAAGAGGAGGAGGCAGGATGGATCAGAATTCTTGCTTTCTACCATACGATGCTTAGAACATCTCTGGCACATAGCACTATGTAAGTACTAGCTATTATAGTTACTGGTCTTTGTTAACCAGCATACTTGGCATGTAATTGATAGCAAATACTAAACACATGTATGAATGAATGAGGGGGAAAATATCTCAACTATAATACTCTTTTCAGAGTGCTTTATTTTTATTTTTTATTTTTATTTAATTTTTAAATTTTTTGTATTTTTTAATTTTTAAAGTTTCTTTTAAGTTTTTATTTAAAATTTTTTTTAATTTCTTGTTTTTTATTTTATTAAAGTTTTTTAAAATGGCATTTTACCTATGCAGAGCTCAGAAAAAAATATTTAATTAATAATTAATAAACTATTAATAAAATAGAGAAACAGTAATTTAAAAAGTCAGTTTCGATTGATATCCTTGGAACTATGCTTTCTCTTTGATAGTTATATGAACAGAAACTAAAAATGTAGCTCATCTTTAAATTTCAGAATCTAGAAAATCTGTAGAATTTCTGTCATTTTTTTCTCCAATTTTCTCCTTTCTTTTAGAGATAAATTAAGATTAACTGTTGGGAGAAAAGGTATCTTATTGGTTTCTTGCATAGAATTGCCTCTCATTAAACCAGTGGGAAAAAAGAATGAGTTTATAAGAGTTTACATTTATTGAGTTCTTTTGATGTGCCAGGCTACTGTTCTAAGCACCTTATATTTATTAATTTTTTTTATTCTTCACCACAGTCCTATGAGGTACATATTACCATTTTATCAATAAAGAAATTGAGGCAAAGAGCACTAACGTAAGTTAATGAAAGTTACACATCTAGTGAACAGGCAGAGCCAGGATTTAAAACCAGGCTGTCCAACTCACTCTTAATCACTACACCAAATTTACAAATCTGCTTTCTAAAAAATCAGATTTAAGGGGCACCTGGGTGGCTCAGTCATTAAGTGTCTGCCTTCGGCTCAGGTCATGATCCCAGGGTCCTGGGATCGAGCCCCGTGTCGGGCTCCCTGCTCGGTGGGAAGCCTGCTTCTCTCTCTCCCACTTACCCTGCTTGTGTTCTCTCTCTGGCTGTCTCTCTCTGTCAAATAAATAAATAAAATCTTTAAAAAGATAAAAATAAATAAATAAATAATAAAAAATCAGATTTAAACAAAATTTTATCTTTA